AAAGAAGGAGAGAAATGGAGCCTAACACATCATCTGGCCCAAGACCCAATGGCTAGGTGCTTAGTGAGTTTTGTGGAATCGAAATGGAGAAACAAGGTGTTAGAGAGATGCAGAATGAAACAAGGTGTTAGAGAGATGACAGAAAGATGGAGCAACAGAAAGAAACCAGGAGGAAGATAGCCACAAAGACAGAGGAATGCAAAGATATGGAGGAAGAAGAAATGTCAGGAGATATCAAAGGACCAGAAATAGAAAAAGGCAAAAAAAAGGAGTAACAGAATAACAAAGGAGGGAAACAAAGGGAGGGAAGAGTAACAGAATAGCTAAGGGGGGAGGAGGGAGGGGTGGAGAAGAACTAGGAAAAGAAGGTGGAGTAACAGTAGAAAAGTGATTGTTTAAGAGCACTCCTCTGTCCAGCATTCCTCTGCCCTACGTCTTCCCTCTCCCTTAGCTTTAGAAAGGGTTGGCAGGGCCAGATACTTGGGGTTCCCAGACTTGGTAATGGTGGAGATCAGAGGTCAAGGTAAGGGGGAAGGTGGGGGGAGGCCTTCTTCCTGACTCAGGGCCAGGTGCACCCTGCTGGGTCAGAGGCATCAGGTAGACTTTTACAGTTGAAGGACCAGGAGATGCCCAGTGGCTCCAGATCAGGCTGGCAGTGGTGCTCAGCATCTAGGCAGACAGGGCGACAAGGTGGGAGGATTCCTCCTGAGGGGGTACAGTGAGGCAGGAGCAGCCCACATAGGAGTCTTCGGAAAGGCTGGTAACAGGGCAGGTCTGTCAGGGTCTGTAGTTTGTAAAGCAGGGGAAGTTAGGAAGGCTGAAGGTCCCATTGCCAGCTCCTCACTCTTCTCCCCAATCTGGCCTTGTCTATTCGGAACTACTGCTTGCCCAAGTCATTCCCAGCTTACTTGGGCTCTTGTTGCTATTCTAGCTTCCCCCCTTCTTACCCACTTCCCCTAGACTCTCTCTTTGACACCTTGTATCCTTTCAGCATCTCTTCAACTTCCTGTTGACTATCCAGGGTCATCAAAGTATTGGGGAAAGCTGTGGTGTTGTAGCTGAGGCCCTGGCACATTTCCACCTGAATAGGTTCACAGGCTGGCTCTGCAGAGGAGTGAGGATTAAATGGGCACATTTAGCATCACTCTGTTGCTCCAGGTATCACCTTGGGCACAACAGCCCTGGCCTTCTGGCACTTTGGGCCATCATTCAGCAGTCCCCTGATTATTGGAGCTTCTCCTCAGCCTCTCCTCAGCCTGTGGGTGTGAANTATCACCTTGGGCACAACAGCCCTGGCCTTCTGGCACTTTGGGCCATCGTTCAGCAGTCCCCTGATTATTGGAGCTTCTCCTCAGCCTCTCCTCAGCCTGTGGGTGTGAAGTAAGCAGCCAGTCCCACCACCATCCTCACCAAAGGGTGGATGGGAGAAGCTGCTGCAGTTGAATTTGTCACTGCCATCACTGCAGTTCCTCCAGCTGTTGCACATCCAGTGAAGGTCCTTGCACCCTCCATCCTGGCAGGAGAATGCTTCAAGCCCACAGGGATCTGTCGGGGAGAACTCAATGGAAGACTGAAGCCCTGAGCACAGAACTTGTAGCAGTGTGTAAATACCCTCCCCAGATCCCCACCCTGCTCCCACAGCCGGGGCACAGACCTTCTTCCTGTCCCTATTAGAGTATTAACCTCTGCCCACTTGACCCCCCCCATCTCTTTTGTGCCCCCGTGACACCTACTGTCAGTAGCATTGAAGGCCTGGTAGGTCGCAGAGAATCCCATGCTGTTGATCTGGTAATCCGTCACAAATACCACAGTCAGTTCATGGTGTGAGGAAGTGAGGGGCGGAGGCAGCTTGGTACCACAGAACCTGCTCAGAGTAGATGGTACCCCAGTGTGAAGGGGTGGCCTCTGAAGCCAGATTTCCCCAGAAGATACAACTCAGTTCAGAAATTGAACGGCTCTCTATTACTTCTAGAATCAAACACAAGGATCCTCTCTTTGGCACATAAAGTCCTTCACGGCTTAGCCCAAACCTACATTTTCAGGTTTCTTACATTTACCATCCCCTCCCCACCCCACTTCATGCCGGTCTTCTTGTTGATTCCTACAAGTGACATCCCATCCCACCTCCAGTCTGCCCTCTGTCTCTCCTCTCCTTAGAATCCCTAATTTCCATTAAAGGTCAGCTCAGGAGCCACCTCCTACATTATACCTCCCATACCACGCCACGCCCCCACCCCAGACTGCTGGTACCTCCCATACTTTCTGTGTATACTTATATGTAAGCAACTTGGTGGCACAGTAGACAAAGTACTAGATT